GTTTCTCTCATCAAAATACCCATAGTCTCTTAAGATCGTTTGAGAGATTGTCATCTGACTTTTCGAAGAAAATCGGGATTTCGGTCGGACGTTCTATAGATTTGTTACAAATTATTCTAGAATGGGTAACATTTCAAGGATAAATGCTAGTGAAAGTCAGACAAGGGGTAGTGATGATCTTGGGCGAAGATCAAGTGTAACACTATATAAACAAAAGGAATATTTAAAAGGTGGTCAAAAGTTCAGCCCTTGCATCAGTACTGGTCTTAGAGACATGACTCTTGTTGACATAGATAATAAAGTTTAATTGACGTTGTTTATTATTGTGATAATTGTTATTGTTGTTATTGTGTTGAAAAACTGGCTTAAATAGGTTTGGTTTTTTCTTTGTTGTTTTGACGAAATCTGATTGGATGATTGGAGAGCAACAATCATCTGAAGAGGGTAAACTGATTTCGGTTTTTTGGAAATTTTGAAATGGTATAGTAAATAGTACCATGGTAGAATTATATATAAAGGTTGTAATAAAATAAACAATAGATCCAATAACTTTGTTTGAGTATGTTTTTGAAAAAGTGTTTAATTTAGCAAGTGTAATAGTATTATTCTCACATGTACACGATATCAAACAAAATCTCTGCCAAGTGATAAAGCAAAAATACGTCATATCTATAAATAAAACATTTAAAACAATGAAAAAAGTGCTAGCGTAATTTCACACAAACAAAGGAAGTTTTTATAGAAAATATTTGATATATTTGTGCTAATGAAAGTTTCTTTGTTTATCTTTTAAAAGTCTTAATTTGTGCTTATTAAATACAACCATAAGTTGTTTATTCATAACGACTTGCACCCTTTCATAAGTTGGATCATGAACGTTGATTCTTCTTTCAATCAAAGTCCATTATTGATTAGATATGCATGATAGCATATCATTGATATCATTACTCATTTTGTCCAAATTAAAAAATTTAAGTGATTAAAATGATCTTGAAATATTCACATGTTTAGTTAGAGTGAGTAAAGATTACACGATATCATTCAGCTTTTTTATACTTAAATTCAAAAAAATATTTTTCTTTGTTCAAAAATAAGTATAAATTCTAGGTTTAAATTCAAGACGTAAACTTCCTTGTTCGCAGAGAAAATGGGCGACAAAAGTTCTAGAGACGCAACGATAGCCTCCTTGAAGCAGTAGGCAAAACTGTTTATAAAGCCAGCAAAACAATTGGTTGTAATACTCCCAAAACGCAAGAAATAAACAAGTTATTGCAGGTATAAATTTTTTTTAATTTTTGCCTATATTTTTAATGTTTTTGACAATATTTTTTGTCTTGTTTTAGGGGGCAAACAACTTACCTGGACATGTAATTACTTTTTCAACATGCCTTACTACTGCTATTATAGCTATCAATACTTTTAACAAAATTCGTGAAGAATTTAATTTTGATGTACACAATTTTAAAAGTTCCGAGTATTCTAAAAACAAGAGCAGTTTTCATGAATCACTGGAAAATATTAAAAATTTTTTGGATCGTATATCAAAATCAAAAATCATAACTGAGAAAAATACTTCTAAATTTGCTCTCTATGCAAACGATCTTAAGCATAAAATCCAAGAAATAAAAAATGCAATTGAAAGAAAGTTAGCAGAATTGAATAATTCAAGTGGAATATTTGAAGGATTAGCTTCTGTTGCTTCCGCATTGTCTTATTTTGCAGTTAAATTTGTGATAGGAAAAGCTAATGCTGCAACAGTAGCTGCCAACATAGCAGAAGCTGTCTATGCTATAGCTTTGGGAGCTATTGCTGTATCTGCTATGATTGTAAGTATTAATATGTAATGAATTAAGTTCGAATTATTACTTTCAACTTAATATTTTTTTTTCTTTTAGATTTTTATTTCTGCTATAGAAGTATTCTTAATCTTTGACAGCTTCAATAATAAAAAAGAAGAAAACAAAGAAAAATGCAGAAAACTTATCCAGTCACTAGAACAAATCCATGAATCCCTTAGCGAAATACAAAAAGAGTTTTCAGGAAAAGATCTTGAAAAAGGAGGAATTAATTTAAATGAAAAAGATAAAGATTCTTTTAGTAAATTAAAAACAGAAATCTAAGACTTTACAGATATTTTTTTTTGCAAACAAGATGACTAGGCAGAACCAATTTTAGTTGTTGGTTTTAAATTATGCTTGTTTATGAAAATTGAAATATGTTTATTCAATCGAAGATTGATATGAATAGTTTTTGTAATATAATAAAAGAAAGGAGAGATGCAAGAGAACAAAAGAAAAGAGAACTGCCACAGGCCTTTCCTCATGCAACTGAAAAATAAGCAAGACTTCCAAACTTGAGTAGACTTTAACCAGAGGTCATATTCCACTATACCAGTTGTCTTGAAGGTTCTTAAGCTGGAGCTCACTTATGATAAAAAGTATAAACCATTTTTTCTTGCTTAAAATTATCATAAAAAAAAAATTTTTAACAAAACAGATATGATTAGGAGAAAGTTTTTTTATCTTTATATACTACTACTTAATATATTATACAAATATTATATATAAAATTAAACAATTATTTTAAATAAAACAATATTTTGTTTTTTTAAAGTTTTTATTTTTTGATTAATTTTTATTTTTATCAAAAAAATCATAATATATAAGTATCAATAATATTTTATATTACAATATTAAAACAATAATACAAAAAAAAAAAAAAAAAACTCTTTCCCACTCCCTCTTCTGCACTTGAAAATTTTCTTTTTTAAGAAATTTTTGAGTTGTTTACTTTTTTTCTTCGCTCTTCCCTTTCCCCTCTCCTTTACTTCTCCTCTCCCATATCTTTTTATTTCCTCTTCCCTATTTCTTACCCCTCCTTTCTGTAGACTTCTTTATATAAAGCTTACCCTCCCCTTTCTTTTTCCTCTTCCCTGTCAAAGTTAGGTTTTTTCTTCTTCTTGAAGGTTTTTTTTCTAGGCCTCTCTTTCTTTTATAAAACTTGCTCTCCATAACATCAACCCCCTGGCCAGTTGGCTTCCTTTTCTCAAGACCATATGCAGAAGTGGTAACTTCTCTTAAGACATGGGCTTCAAAATTTTCTCTCTTTCATGGCCTCACAGAAAAAGAACAGATGGTTTAGACCCCTCCAAAAGATCAACATGGTTATCATTACCAAATCTGGTGTTGTTTACTTGTTAATAGCTAAACTAGATATATCTAAGAAACCGGTATACAACTATTATTATCCGAAAGTATCCAAGAAGTTGCACCTCACTATATCCAAAAAGATATGACAACCAATGCCAATGCCGCTAACAATAAGCTAAGTTAGTTGCAGGTGTCATGCTAGTGATTGGAGAACCTAGTAGAATAATACGTGAAGACCAGGGATTCTAGTTACCCCTGCAACACAAGCTGGTGACAACAACGAAAGTTCCTCGCTTATCCCTCTGACAATGTAAGCTCATTGTATAAGGTTAGATAACAACATCTATAAGAAACTCCAACTTCATTACATCTGACAACTTTCTTCAATAACCATCACTATATGTCCAAACACTTTTCCTCTACCTTCCCCTGCCTTATACCGGTGCTGAATTCTACTCAAATACTTAAATGGTGCAGCTATATATACAAAGCTTTTTATAAAGAACAGCTGTCCCCTTCCCTACTTGCTGCAGATGTAGACAACTGCCACAGGCCTGGTCAACCTATAATCTGCCGCAATCCTAGAAGGGTAGATAAGGTCAAATACTAGGTGGTCAGATGAAAGGCTAATCTCCACAAGATGTCTGTGTCGGTGTAGTGGCCATTTAACTAGTTGAGCAGTTATCCAGAGAAAGTATAAGGTGGAACACATCTCAGCTTGCCATACATCAAGCCACATTTGGAAAGCAAGCTTGCCAATTATAGTCATAACTTGGAGGCCAACCTGTATATAGTGGCTGCAGCGCCTTCATATGGCTAGGTATTCAAATTTTCTAGGTAGCTAGATGCCATTCAAGGCATAATATAGGTTTTAAATTTCTTTTTTCTATATTCTTGGGTGGTGCTAAGAAGTACAAAGAATGGACCATGTTTGCGGAGCCTGGCATTTAACTCTTCCTAATAAAGAGAGATGTATGTTATACTATAAATGTGTTATAAACCTTGTACTGCAGGTCTAAAATTATAATAATAAAATAAAGTATAATAGCCTTTTGCTCCTTCAAAAAAAAAAAACAATAATACAATATAACAATAATAACAAAATAATACAATATGATTGAATTAAAAAAATAAATAATCAATATTTTATACAGGTTTTAATCTCAACTTATCAATTTTTATATTATTTTAAAAAAAAAAATTCATACCTGTTCACTACTAATTCTTGAAAAATTTCTTTTTATGGCAATTTCCCTTAAAGAAGTATTTATTATTCTTTTAACATGTTATTTATGCCATAAGCTTAAGAACATAAGAGCTTTAAGAATCACTGTTGCATCAAGATAGGATCTTTGGGCAAAGGCCAAACAAGTTTGGAAATCTCATTTGTCTTTTGTTTACATGGGAAAAGATTCATGACAGTTCTTCTTTATAAACCTATCTGTTTTCATCTTTCATTATCAATACCCTAATGATGTTATTTTTTTATCACATTTTAATATTATAAATCCATTTCTCAAGTCATACTTAAGCAAAGTTTTTGAATCTCTTGCTTGATTTAACTCAACCTTAATTTTTTCAAATATTTTTCTTCTGCCGCATAATACTGTACTAATTTACCATATACAAAAAAAATTTTTTCAAACACAAAAACCAAAATCAGCTCTACCCTTTCAAATAATTATCATTTCCCAACAATTAATTACAAACTGTCAATACAATATCACAACAATCAAACAAGTCTAAACTGGTTTCAAACAACAACAGCACCAATTCTATATTGTATCTAAATATAGGTTCCTAAATTATTTAGCATATAAAGTTTTACAGATCAATTATATCTCTTTTGAAGGGACATAATTATTTATTCATTATTTTAATAGGAACATAATTCAAAAAACACTTGGATTAAGTAACCTAAATTGCAAAAAATCTTTATAGATAGTTTTTTTTTGATCTTATATTTAAAAAAAAAAATCTTTTTAATAATATAAAACATTTGAATTATATTTTTGTCTTTAATTTAGGATCCCATATTTAGTCACACCATCTCAATAACCTATCCAACTATAATAATAACAACTTCAATAATAACAGTGACATTATACTATAATGTTCTAACAATTTTCTTAATAATTGATCTAACCCCATCAATTTTTTCAATTCAAGTAATAACAATTTCACCATATTCATATAAAAATATTGAACTTATCATATGTTTTATTTAGCTCTTAATCATTAACAATATTATTGTTCTAATAATCAAAACTACTCATTTCTATCATCATCAGTATTTTCTACTAGCTACTTACAATATCAATAGTACTATTTTTCTTTTCAAAGCATGTTATTTTATTTTTTATTTCTAGTTTTATATATAATACTATCTATATATTAACAAGTACCAGTCTGAGTTGTCAAAAATCATCTTTACTTTCAAAAACATAAAAGAATCACAAGTAATAAAGAACTATAATCAAAACACAGCTATACTGAAAGGTGAATCCACTCTGTGAATCGTACTACTAACTATTTCTGTTAGATACCTTTTCTTTTCTCAATAGACAAATTATATCAGAGAAAAGAAAACACAAGCTTTACAATTCACAGTAAGCTCAAAGAAAAGTCAGCATCAACCCTCCTAGCTTCTAGCCAGTCGTGTACAAGATTCTGCACCTCCCTAGACACCAGAAGGATTTTTGCTGGCCAGATTTCACCCGATAAATCAGGCAACCTCGACACCAAACAAAAAACAAGGGGACACCAGACTTTTCTCAGGGAATCCAGATCAAAAGGACCCAAATAAACAAACAACAATACATCAACCAATATCAATAACTCATAGTTACGTGACAAATTTTAATTGAGGGGAAAAAAACCAGAATCAGCTTACCCCCAGCAAGTGATCGACACATCAAAAAAACACGTAAAACAAATCAAACAATCCAAGTAAACAAGACCTACACGTCAACCAAAACCAAATAAGTTTAAGTAAACAACATCAACATGTCAACAACGTGAACGTGTCAGCAAAATAAACACGTTCCGTAGCTAACACGTCAACCAAAACCAAAAAGCTTAAGTAAACAACACCAGCACATCAACAACATAAATACAATAGCAAAACAAACACGTCATATAGTTGACACGTCTATATCGTAACCACAGTTTCTTAAGCAAGTATTTACAACAACAAACACATCACTACAATCAATCTATCCAATTAACTATGACCAATCAAAATCCAAAACCAAGTCCAACTATCAGTAATGATTCCCACTTCTCACCACCCACAACATCCCAGGCAAATAACAATAACAATATTATCCTTCTAGACATTATCCTTGTAGACAGAACCCGTCGCCACGTATCCATAATATATCAAAATGAAAATAAAGAAGTCATTCTTACAGAACCTTCCAGAACGATAGCAACACCCTTATTCAATAACTATCCTACTAAGTGGCTCATCCCCACCACCAATATCTCTAGACCTGATTCAACAAATCTAAGTGTGTTCCAAATAGAGTTTGCAATCTCTGAAGATCAAA